AAAAAAGTAGCGTAAATTTACGACACCGACCTTGCATAAAGTCTTTCCTGTGTTTACATCACTCAGAGCCCAATGAGAGTCATCCGAGACCGAAAGCACGTAGTCACCAGTAGCGTGGAGAGAGATGTCTTCAAACACGAGTTGAATCATATGAGCTCTTCATATCCAGATCATGTGGTACAATGCTTACCCGTAACCGGAGCTTGATGAATATCAATGAGGGCCTTGCAAGTCTCCTCCCCAGTTGTCCATACACGCACCTGAACAAACATGGGAACAGATAGCAGGAAATGATGACCAAAACATATACAGCAGAATACTATGAGTGACAAGTAAGGAAAACGTTGAGATTATGAAATGTTGAGGCTCACTGCTCACCTGAGCATCAGAACTGGCAGAAATGGCGTTCTTTGAGTTAGGATGGAGTATAACAGCGTTGATCTTCTTCTGATGTCCCTTAAACACATCCTGAACTTGCTCTTTCTCCGAGTTGAACAACACAACAGTTTTATCCGCTCCTCCAGTCAAGACCATCTTTCCCTGAAAACAACAGTGCAACAGGATCATTGTGAGAAAATTCGTTGATCGAGGAGATGGAGTTAAATTCCTCAATTATTAAAATAATAAAAAATATTACCTGCACATCCAGCGCGGTAACTCCGGGAGTTCCTGTGCTGTGAATTCCAGTATGGCAAGCAGACTCCCGGAATGAAGCAAACTCGTCTTGCTTTGTCAACTCTTCTGGTAGATTCTTACCGCGCTGCTTACGAGCAGCGGTCAAAGTCTTTGCCTTCTCATCCAATCGTGCCAAGACGGCCTCAGAGATACCTGAACTTTGAATGTTCTCGGGATACTGCTCCGCCTCGGTATGCTTTGCAACCAACCTTGGGCTTCATCAACGCTTTGTTCCATATCGATATCTCCAGCAGCATGAGTGATGTTTGCAGCATGTGGTTTCAAAGTAGATAAGGCTTCACGTGCAGCGGTCAACTCTTTAGTAAGACGAGCAATAACCCGGCAAGCAGCGTCATGCTAAAAGTTAAAATAATTTCGAAGGAAAAGCCTACAACTGGTCATAAGACTCTGATTTAGAAGGACATCACTTTATAAAAGAGAAAAGTCAAAATGGTAAGCATCTGATATGACTACACCTTGTGATCAGTATTTGTTAGATATAAGGATTGATTTGGCAGCGGAGACCCTCTGTCCAAAAGTTTTTAAGGTTTCCTAATACTGAAGCATCCGTTGTCATCCATTAAAAGCTCTTACATTTGATGATTTTTTTCACAATGTTAAATAATTTTTAACTACCATTTAACAACGAGTTTTTAGGTTTTGAAAATTCTTTTTTTATTCCTACATTTTCTTTGAATTTCAGCTCTGTATATCGGAACAAAAATGACAATGCGTAAATTTCTACC